CGGGCAATCGCTACTTTGGCGGTCGCGGTCGTCCGAACCAGAGTGAATGCTACCAGTGCGGTGGTGCGTGACTCTCTTTTTTTTTGCTTACATTATTCTGGCGCAGATTTTTATGCAAGCTGCGTTGGTGCCGTTTATTTCTGGGAGCAGCAGTGAATTTCTTTTTTTTTTTGTTATAGGCATTGGACATTTTGCGCGTGATTGTCCCACCGAGCGCCGTTCGGCCAGTGGCGGCAGTCAGAAGTGCTACAACTGCGGCAGACTTGGGCACATTTCGCGTGATTGCCCGGATTCCGGATCGGACCAGTCGAAGCGGTGTTACAATTGCCAGCAGATCGGGCATATCAGTCGCGAGTGCCCGCGCGGTGACCGCGATGATTGAGTTGGACGAGTCGACGCCATGCAGCCTGACGAAAATCTGGAGCCGACGTGTTAAAGGGACTCGTTTTCATTAACGCTGGGCGTCATCTGTTTTATCATTTTTAAAATCAATTTCTTTCGTGTCCCGTATTGGCATTTAGAGGCTTCATCATCATCTTATCAGAGTGTCTGCTCGAGGAGATGCTCCATCACCAATACTGGATTTGTTGCTAACCTCCATCCCCTCGCTCTTCCCCCTCTTCCTCCATCTCTCTCTTTCGCACTCATTTCCCACGCCGGAGAAAAAAAAAAAAGGAACCGAAACATTACTGGTTAAGAGGTCCACTCGCCGTGCATCATCTGCGACACTCTTTTTTTTTCAATCAAAGCAATTTCTTGTGTATCTCTCTAACTGGAATTTAGATACTTCATGTTAACAGAGTATTTGTTCGAGGGGATGCTGTTTTACTGGTGTTCGATTTGTGGCTGGCCCACACTCCGTTTTGCAGTTGTTCGCCTCACCATTTTAATTGCTGCTCGTTTTATCTCTTTTTCTCTTTTTTTTCTTGTTTAAAAAAAATTCATTTTTTTTTTCAGCTTGTTTTTATCGCGCCTCAGTGCACAGTTGCCCATCTATATCCCAGCAAAGATCGCATCACTCCGGTTTCATTTTACCCTCTGTGTCTATACACATTGTTATTATTTTTATAGCTGTTATCTCGGTATGAAATTTCGCTAAGGGTTTTTTTTGTATCGTCCCCACGGTGATGTAGAGTTTTCTTACGTTTTTCAGTTAAAGCCAGTTTCTCTGTATGGATGCTCCGGTTCAGTAGCATTCCGTGTTCTCTATGTTTTGGAAAAAAAAAAAGAAACTTCCCCTTCGTGTGACACTTTTGCGCTGCGATACTTTTTATTGTTTTATCGTTTGTGGGTTTTTTTGTGTGTAATATATCTGAAGGCTAGTAAAAGGCGTGTTGTTTGTTACTGGAAAGAGCAAAAGAGTTGCGGATCTCACTGTGTGCGCAGCTAGCGCAGTAGAATTCGGTTGTCAGCCGTAAGAGAGTTTGAATGGAAGTGCTTATACGAACGAAGTGAAACTGGGATCGGCAACAAAAAACGAGTGAGCTGAGGTCCGAATTGTTCTTCCCCACCACCAGGTGTGATTCTTTGGTTGCTGAGTTGTCAAGGCAACAGCCGTGACTTGGGTGGATTATTTCACACTAGGGCGATTTTTGATGCTGAAGGCACAGGTCGGGCGGCGTGCTCACTGCATACATCATCCAAAGCGGTTGCGATGACCGCTGGTCATTTTCAAACATCCAAGTTTTTTTCTTTCTTTTTTTTTGTTAGTCTTTGCCGTGAAGAGTGGGACGCAACTACGCGTCCTCGGTTTTTCAGCAGGACTCAGGCGTGATTCCTGATTTTGCAATGACAAAAGACGAGGCATTACAGCTAGATGAAATCAGCACCACAACAATTTGATAAAACCTGCATTTGTAGAATTTATTGAGATGAGGCAGAATTTGCTGAGCGTGGCCCAGCAAAGAACTAAAGCCGGGGCGAAATATGGGCGTGTGTATCAAGAAAACGGTGCAAGAATGCGATTGCAGTTTTGCTCAGCCGATTTTTCATTGCTTTTAAGTTGCTTTAAGCGTACAGTCGACTCAAAAATTTTTCCTCCGTCGCTCACCGGGAGCACAGTCCTTGACCCTTTTTTCTGTATTTCCGGGAGTAAAGAAAGACGGCAGGGGAACTGGAAATTCGATAGTTTATTCTCGTGCGTTATAACAGCACATGAGCCTAAAATCGCCTTCCGTACTCCTCTACAAAAAAAATTAGTATCAGTTTCGAAAGTTTGCAGAAATGCGTTAAATTTAAAG